CCTGAACGGATTAGGTCGTCGGTTCGAACCCGGCCGTGAACATCTTTAGTCTCTTAGACGCCATCCTTTTTGTTTACACATGGCGACGTTTGGAGACCACCGAATCTCGATCTTTTTTCCCGCACAGGGAGACGTAGAGGATGCAGAGGGGATCCGGAGTCTTCAGAGTGTGCGACGAGGCCTTTGCAAATGACCGACCGCCGTGCATATGAGGGTCGCCAACTTTAACGACGACACCCGCTCCGAGGATTCAGCCCCGTTGGTAAATGAGCTCGCGGGTCGGAGGCTACCTTGCAGGCCGGCCTGCGGAATCGTGGCGGCGCGAAAATATGCCTGCTAGACGTAGCTACGGGGAATCGCAGCAAAAGCCATCGAGAACAAGACCACGGCTAGATGCGCTGCCGAAAAGCGTTCTGCCGATACGGTACCGTGAAACACGACCTTAAGGCCCGCATCCTCCTTCGATCGAGTCGCCAGAACACTGGGGCTGACTGCCAGGAAGCGTTTCGCCCTCCTTGCCAGTCGAATCTCACAGTGTGATATCGACGCTCAATGTGACCATCTTCTCGTACCCTTTCTTAAAGTCTGATTTTGCCCGAGGAGCCTCGACTACCCCGAGCTTTGAAGGCTTTGCGCCTCCGGCCTCGCAGCATACTTGCACCGGTGCTTCCCGAGCGGTGACTCTGCTCAGCGCGCTCCGCAACGAGAACCCCGCACGCAATCAGACGAAGAGCAGGTTCCGTTGCTTGCCGGCGCTGGAGGAAGTTGTTTGGTGCATCTGAAGCTTACTTGTGAAGCCGGGCGGCGAGGAGCGACGAGCGTTGCTGTCGACAGATGAGACGACGAGACAGCTGCGGCCCGCGAGACGATGACCGGGCGCAGGGCGGGGCGACAATATCGGCTGCCAGAAACGGTCTTATGTTCGGACCGCCTTCCCTCGCAGTGCCGGCTCAGCCTTGAGCATCCGTCTGCAAATAGACGTACAGAACGAGCCTGGTCAGGCTCGTACGTGCATGCGCAGGGTGCGCAAAAAGTGGCAGACCGAGGTCAAGCACATACATGAGATTGCGAGGAAAGGGCGGCTAGTCCTGGATAGTCACGCGCTTGCTTTTGCGAGCGCTGCCCTCCTGTTCGGCCGCTCCAGTTGACATGGGGCGCTTGGCCTTCGGCTTCGACGGGGGCCAGAAGGCGTCGATCTCGTCTCTCAGCATCTGCTTCAGGCCCTCGTGAATGTGGGAGCGAAGGTGCCAGGGCTTTGGAACCCAGCAGATCTGGCAGGAACAGCCGGAAATGAAACACGTCTCCTTGTACACGTGGACGAGCTTGCCCTTGTCGTTGAGCACCTTTGCGGGGCGGTGATTATCTGTGATGTGGTAGATGAAATCGCTCAGCTTCGGCATGTCGCACACCTTGTAGGGAGAGGCGAAGGTATCGAAACCATCAGCGAGGTCAAGCAGCATCAATCATGCTCCTTGCTTTCTAGTGTGCGAGCGGGGCGTACTCACATGAACATCGCAGATCGGACACGTCATCAGATCAAGCTTGCATCGATGGTCATTGCCTTTGAGAAGGGCAGAGAGGGCCTGCTGCGACGATTGAGCGGGGCCCGGCGGAGCAGGACGAAAGATGTCGGGGATCCAGACGTCTTGACTGTCGCTGGGCGAGGCCCATCGCTCTGTCGGCGGATCTTGGAGGAAGGCGTCTGGGACGTAGATGCTGACGCCATCAGAGGGGAGGGGCCAGTTCTGCGAAGGCGAAGACTTGTTGGGCGAGGTAGCAGACATGGTAGTAAGGCGACGGACGAGGGTATGGTGGATGGAAGACGGGAGGAGACGGGGCGGTGTCCTATCTTTTGCTGTCGTTGAAGTCGAGGCAGGCCGGGTCCGCAGCTTGTCTGCAGCTCTTGCGAGCCTGGATTGCGGCCGTCACAGTTGGGGCCACGATGGGGTCGGGCCTGGCCGTGGCGAGGTCGCAGGCATGCATTGAGGCGACGGGAGATGTGGGCGCAGCCTGGGGCAGCACATCCAGGCCAGACCGGCAGAGCAAAAGACGCAGAAGCGACCTACCCTTCGCCACTCTGCTGCACCTGACGAGGCAGCTCGCGTTTTCAGACGGGCGCCCGTCCACGGCAGGTTCAGCCTTCCGTAGCGGCACCCTTGAAGCCAGAGGACGGTCTAGCCAGCAATAAAGTTGCCGGACAGCCTTTTTCGATCGAACCGCACGGGCCGGTCTGCTCAGCCGCTGTGCGTTGGCTGGACCAGACCGGTCTCGGGGCCCAGCCCAGGCATGCATGTTCGCTGGATTGCACGGAGCGAGGCGGTCTGGCCAGCCGTGCGAGCAGGTCCTTCGCTCGACGTGCGCTCTGGCTGTCGACTGACTCGCGCCAGCAACTTGTGCCGCGGTCTGGCTTGCCTGCAGCGCGCGGCCAGCCCTTTGTCACTATATGTCGGGCTCTCCACTCGCCTCCTTCTTTGCATCTTCCTCCATCCTCTCCATCTCGTCTTCCTCGATCCTCCCTATCTCATCTGCCTCTTCAACATGGCATCGCCAGCATCCCTCCCTGCCTCAACCGGGTCGCTTCGGGACAGGCAGGACATTCAGGACGCCTTCCAGAACGCCGCACAGCTCCAGCAAGCTCAGCAGGAGCGTATCGCCCAGCTCGAGCTCGAGGTGCAACGTCTCAAGCAGCAGTCCGCTGGCGTCGGCTCGGCATCGCCCGAGGTCCCCCTTCCAGCGTCTGCTCAGCCCACCGCTGCCACATCCACCACGGCTGCCGACATCGGCCTCCACCCTTCGGAAGGTACACGTTTGCACGAAGTTCTGAAGCGCCTCGCCCCTCTCCTCGCAACGTTTCGCGGAGCCGATAAGCCCAGCTTGAGCCCGGCGCCGGCGACCGAAGAGCCGGTCATCCAGACAGCCTTGCTCGATTGCGGCTCCAAGAAGCGATACATCAACCGCCCACCCACACCCACTTGTCCCTGCTGGATCCAGGTCGTTGGGCGAATCTCGTCTGGCAGCATAGAGGAGCCGTTCGTCCAACAGGTGAGGACTCATGAGTGGCTTGCGGACGAAAAGAACACTGGCGCAAGAGACTGTCGTGTTAAGACCCTTCCGCACTCAATCTTTGACCTGTTCAAGGTGACTGCCCGAGCCGTCAACGCCATCAAGGCAGCGGCGAGCCCGCTCAAGAGGTACCTGGGGATCGACGACAATTCTCTCGAAGCTGCCTTGGGACAGCTTGAGATCCAAATCAGATCCAGGCCCGCGTGGGATGGCGACGTTCCAGGCAGATCTTCGACTGCCCCCTGGCCGCTTGGGCTCGCTCGAGCTGGCAGCGCAACACGAGCGGGCATCCGCATTGTCGCCATCTGCAGTTATTCTGGCTGGACGGTGACGCCCGAGATATGGCAGAAGGAGCTCGCGAACGTTCCGGGCAACAGTGACCTCGTTTTCTTGTTTTTCGACAAGTCGAACAAGATACAGCTGCGCTCGCACGACGAGCTGCGGCGACTGTTTCAAAGACCCAATGCCTCATACAACCAGCTCGGTCCGACTCAATCGGAGCACGCCTACGCCCACATCTTTAGGGCTCTGGACGGTCGAGTCCTTCTCAAGCTCGCGAAAAGGACCTCTGGCTCGCTCTCCGAAGGAAGCGGCCGGAACGGATTCCAAAATCATCTCCCATTCGGCAGCCACGCCGAATGGTCTGATGACTTCGAGCGCATCGAGGCGCCGGCGCTACCAGCCGACGCCCCTACAACGCTGGCTGCAGGGACTCGCAGCCGTCTGCGCAACCCGGAACAGCGCCCAACCGACGGCAAGACGTGTCCCGAATGCTCGGAGCAGGTCTGCGAGGCACCCGACCCCGAGGCCATCGCGCGCTGTATACGAAAGCATCAAGAGGCCAGTGAGCTTGTGGGGTGCCCTTGGGATCCCAGGTGCAACAAGAAAAGGCGAGCCGGCCTGGCGGCTAGCCTCGTCCTTCTGGCTGAGCACGTGGTGGCCCACTCGGAGGGTCAGAGGGTCCACTCCTCCGGAACGCTCAACAAGCTCGCCTCGAGGGCCAAGGAGCGAGCCAAGAAGCCTCGAGTCGCGAGAGCTCAGAGACGCAGTCGGCAGGGCAAAGCTTCCACCTCTTCAGCTTGCTACGACGAGGACGACCAGGACGACCAGGACCACGAGGACGACGAGGACGACGAGGACGACGAGGACGACGAGGACGACGAGGACGACGAGGACGACGAGGACGACGAGGACGACGAGGACGACGAGGACGACGAGGACGACGAGGACGACGAGGACGACGAGGACGACGAGGAGGAGGATGAGGAATAGGAGGAGGAGGAGGAGGAGGACAACGAGGAGGAGGAGGACGATGCTATGGAAGCGGACACATCAGACTCCAGGAAAGAGACCAGGCTTGCAAGGTGGCTCAGGTATGCAGCGGAGGCTCGGGCCCGCAGATTGGAGGAGAACCGCGCGCCGACCACGTCGACCCCCAAACCGGGGTAGGGATTGTACCATGGGCTCGGTCCGGGAAGAGGGCTGGGATGAGGATGATGAGGCGGACCAGTCGGAAGCCATCCTTGCCTCGGACGAGGACTTCGACTTCACGGGCGAGTACCTCCGCAAGCATCCTGAGGCGGCGACGGAAGGGACATGTTGTCGTATGTGCGCGACAACGACTGGTGAACAAGCGATGGCGGTGGCGAATCAATAATCTGCTGACTAACGCACTTGTTCTGCGAGCCGGTTGGGTGCGGAATGCTCGAGAGATCATCGCCGTTTCTCAAGCGCCGGCCAGCGCAGGTCCATGCCTCCCCATTCAGCGAGCGAAAGCGTCGTGCGACCGTCAGATGGACCGGCTATTGCTGCTTGTGCTGATGGTTGGGGCGGTAGGTTTGGGTATGTTGCTTGGATGACGATTGCGTCTGCGTGAAGTGGTGCTGCCGACGACGATTTGGTCTGCGTGAGATGGTCCCGCCTGCGACGAAATCGTCTTTTTCTGATGGATCCTCTCTCAGACGGGACAGTCTGAAGGCGTGGCCCCTCTCAGCCTTCGCAGGAGAAAGCACGAAGCCGCGTGATGTGGAGGCTCCGGCCTGCCTGATGTCATGCAGATGGCGTCCTAAGTCCGGGCCGCCGAACCGCTCTTTTGCCGGCACGGTCTTCGCTCGATCGGACCGCACACCATCACCGTCTTCATCCGAATCCGAACCCGACCCTCTTTCAGCTTTACAGGTGAGCAGCATCGAGGGGACAGCGCCACCGCTCGACACCCTCGCTGAACCGCCTCCGCCTGACCTTCTGTACTCGCCCGCCAGACCGTCACCCAACATGTCGCCCCCCGCCCAGATTGAAGCCCTCGTCACTGCCGACGCCCATCGGGCCGAGGTCAAGCTGGTGCCGCTGCCCAAGCTCGAGTCCAACGAGGTCCTTGTCAAGGTGCTCAACGTGACGCTCAACCCGACCGACTGGAAGCACATTGCCCTCCTCTCGCCGCCGGGCAACATTGCCGGCTGCGATTTCTGCGGCGTCGTCGAGGACGTTGCCCCGGACGCCAAGGGCAACGTCAAGGTCGGAGACAAGGTCGCCGGCTTTGTCCACGGCGGCAAGTACTCTGACCGCGGAAGCTTTGCCCAGTACCTCAATACCAGCAGCGAGCTCGTCATGAAGGTGCCAGAGGGTCTCGACAACGACGTGGCCAGCAGCGTCGCCGTCGCCGGGGAGACGGCCGCACTCGTGAGTCGCCGCCGGGTCAAAGTGTAGCAAGCAGGGAGCGCCTCGTTGACGCATTGCCCCTCGCGCCCCTACCGCAGGCCCTCTTTGGCCGCCTTGGACTGCCCAACCCGGACCCGGCCAAGGAGCTGCCGGAGATCACCAGGGACTCGCCCGCCCTGCTCGTCTGGGCCGGCTCGACGGCCGTGGGCCAGTATGCCGTCCAGCTGGGACGGGCTGCCGGCTACCGCGTCATCACCACAGCCAGCCCAAAGAACCACGAGCTGCTCAAGTCGATGGGCGCCTACGAGACGCACGACTACCGCGACGAGTCGACGCCTGAAAAGATTGCCAAGGCCCACCCCGACCTGGTGAGTGCGCGAGTGGGGCGGTCGTTTGCCGGCACGTGGACTGACGACTGTGCGCCCTCCCACGCCCGCCGCCCCACAGAGCAAGGCCCTCGACTGCATCTCGGAGAACGGAACGCAGTCGCTGTGTGTCCGCAGCCTGGGCGAGCAGGGCGGCGAGGTCGTCGTCCTTCTCAAGCCCGAGTCGGACGCCATCAAGCTGCGCGACAGCGTCAAAATCACCCACATCCTGTGAGTGGCGCCAAGCGGGTCTCCTTTGCATCTCTGCCGCTGCCGCTCTGCGTCGCTGACTCGCGCCATGGCCCCACCTTTCCGCAGCGCCTACACCTGCCTCGGCCGCCCCTTCACCTACGGCAAGGCCGAGTTTGGCCAGGACATTGTCGACAAGGACTCTGCGTTCATCAAGCAGTGGCTCAACGGCGACCAGGGTCTCTTCCACCACCTCTTCAAGAACAAGCGCATCACCGGCAACAAGATCAAGCACATGGAGGGCGGCCTGCACGCCGTCACCGAGGGCCTCAAGTACCTCCAGGAGGGCAAGGTGAGTTGTCTGCGGGGCTTGCATCAGGGTTCGCCAAGCTGCGCTGACGACCGACGCTCTCGCTCGCGCCGCACGCGACCCCGTCTCGACAGGTCTCGGCGGAGAAGCTGGCCTACACCATCGACGTCGTCTAAGGAGCCGAGTCGAGCTCGTGGATAGTGGACAGGAATTGCCGGATGTGGAATGGAATAGCATCAACGCCTTGCCCTTGTGGCTGGGTCCGTGACTGTGGATTCCGAGCCGTGCGGGGTGCGGAAGAGGCCGGGAGATCGCCCTGCTTCAAAGTCGCCAGCACGGCAGTCCGTCATCGCATCTGCAGGTCGCTCGAGGACCTGAAGCGATGGCCCTGGGGAACGATGCTTGCCTCGAAACAGCGGTCCATGTGTGCCGTGCTGTGACGGGAGCTCGTTGGCGATCAGTTGGAGTGTGGCGGGAGCGGACGTTGCAGGCGGCTTTTCGTGCGGGTTGTGTTGGCTTTTTCACCTGCGTTCTGCGGCAAGAAGGCTGTGTGAGGGCTGCACCGCCCGTGCACTGCCCCGCCCAGCCCCGCCCGCGGGCGACGGACCGAGCTCCACTTTGCCTTGGGCAGAATCACGAATTGGCGTGGCCCGCTCCTCCTTTCTTCCCGCCCACCACGCGATTCACACGGATCCCCTGACATGGCCGACGAGGCGCTACGTGAACGTCTCAAAACCCTTCGCTCAGGCAACAAACCATCCGCTCCCGTTCCCACACCAGCACCCGACCCTGCCGCACCTGCACCAAAGACCAGTGGCTCGCACGACGCCGCTGCCACCGAGTCGACCGCCGCCGACGACGACGAGCTCTTCCGACGACTGAAAGCGCTTAAGGGCATCTCCACGCCAAGGGGTATCACCACATCGATCCGACCGTCCAACACACCGCACGTGCCCGCCCGCACGGTACCCGAGGACGAGCAGGACCAGATCGACGAGCTGATCCGCCAGACGCAGCAGCTGGTCGACATCGAAGGCGACAGCCCCAGCGACGCGGCCCAGCTAGACCCGTCCTCGGACTCGGACGAATCGATCGGCGCAATCGAGCGAGAAGCCGAAGAGATCATCAAGATGGCGCACGACGAGGTCGCCCTGGAGCGACAGATGGGAACCATCCCGCGCGACGACGATGCGGCCCGTGTCGGGGCCGCCGTGCCCTCGTATGGCGGCGTGCTGCATCGCGAGGACGTCGACCTCGAAGACGAGCTGGCCGAGGCGGCCAAGGACGCCGACTTCCACGCCGTCGCTCCTCGCGCCGGCTCGGGCAGGACGTTCCGTCGCGCGAGGTGGACGTCGCGCACCACGCTGTTCATGACGGTGGCCCTCGTCGTCGTCTTTTCGCTGTGCGCGGTCCCGGGCGCATACGCGTTTGGCGCGGGCAACATCCCTTCGTTCAGCTACCTCGAGGGCAAGGCGTTCCGGCACGGCGATCTCGCCGACACGCTGTCTGAGCTGGCGCGAAAGACGGGCGGCCTGCTGGGCAGCAGCAAGTTTTCGGGCATCGCCATCAAGCGCATCTACTTTGGCAACTGGCTGCGCGACTACAGCCAGGCGATGGACGTGGCCGCGCTGGAAAAGATGCCCAAGCAGACGATCCTCAACATTGTCATGCTGCTCGGCTTCCTGGCGCACGGCTACGCCACCGCCGAATTCGAGGTGACCGACGAGCGCCTCGGGACGTACCTGCCCGAGGAGCACCTCGACAACCCCAAGGGCTACGCGGACGGCAAGGATGCGCGCCAGTTTGATGCTCGCCTGCGTGGGCCCGTCGACCCGCGCGAGCTCGAGATCGATCCGCGGTCTGGGATGAAAAACTACCTCGCCAACGAGTCCGGTGCCTGGCCGACGGGCTCGGCGCTGATCCGCAAGACGATCCGACGCTGCATCGACCAGGGACGCCGGGCGCGTCAGAGCGGCCGCGATGCCGACCTCTTTGAGGCGTACCGGCTGCTGGGCCAGGCGCTCCACACGCTCGAGGACCTGCCGGCGCACTCGAACTGGTGCGAGCTGGCGCTGAGGAAGCTGGGCTACCACCAGGTCTTTGTCCACGTCGGCGACAACGTCACCGTCCAGGCGCCCGACGGCACGCGCGTGGCGCCCCTCGTCACGGGGACGTTTGGCTCGGCCGACTTTATCCACTCGCTGCTCGGCGAGGCGCAGGACCACCTGTCCGAGGCGTCGATCTCGGACCTCAGCAAGGCCATCGACAGCGCCAAGACCAAGTCGACCGGCAGCCAGCGCAGCCCGCTGCAGGATCTGCTGGGCACGCTGACCAAGATCCCGGGCGCCGGCGGCGACGGCGTGTCGCGCGACCTCGAGGACGTGTCGCGCGGCCCCTCGCGCGACCCGGCCCAGATGTCGCCCAAGGAGATCTACGCCAACATGTGGAAGATCCTCGAGCTGCGCGACCGCATCGCCAAGTCGATCGAAACGACCATCGAAAAGATCCCCGGCCTCAGCGCGCTCGTCGAGAAGCTGACCAACGAGCTCAACATCTTCGTCTTTACCCTCATCGAGCCGTACGCCAAGCCCATCATGCAGCAGGGCATGAGCGCGCTCCACATCGGCTCAGCCACCGTCATCAACAAGGAGGACCAGTTCGAGGTGTTTACCAACCCCAACGCCTCGGACCCGACCCACTCGATGCTGAGCAAGGACCACTTTGGGCTGATCCTCAACGAGGTCGCCGGCAACGTGGCGCAGATCATTGTGCGGCACACGGTCAAGCTCGTCGTCAAGGCGTGGGACGACAACGGCATCGACGCCGACCGCACCGCAGACGAGTGCCTGGCGCCCATGTTCCACCCCTACTGGTTCTCGGGCCGCTCCGAGGTGCAGCGCGAGATGCTCGACTACATGGCCGGCTGGGCGCGCTCCCACCCGCAGGAGATTGGCAGGCTCGACCGCGAGCACGTCCGCAGCCATACCAACACGCGCACGGGCAAGGCCGAGCCGCACAACCACGGCGGCGACGGGCCCAGCATCAGCTCGTTTATGGGCGGCAGCACCAGCCAGGCCGCCCACAGCTTTGCTCCCTCGGGCCACCACGGTTCGAGCGGCCACCAGGGCGGCGGCGGCGGCGGTCTCGGGTCCTCGATGGCCAACTACGCGTCCAACTACATGTCGGGTCAGATGCACAACGCCTTTGGCGGCGGCGGTGGAGGAGGCCTCTTCCGCGAAGGTGTTCCGGGCGGTGAGCCCGAGACCGGTGCGGGGGCGAATGCGACAGGCGAGCCCAGTCACGGCCGCTACGGCTCCGGTCACTCGCAGACGGCATCGGCACATCACGGCGGAGAGAGTGGGTCGTACTACAACACCACCGGCGGCGGCGAGGACGACGAGCGCAGGCATGGCCACGCGCCGGGCAGCCACGGGGGTGGCAGCAGCTACGGCGGCGGCAGCGTGACGATGCCCGACGAGCGCGTCTACAGCAGCCAGCAGGGCGGCTACGGCGGAGGAGGGCCCGGCTATCCTGCCCCGGGTGGCGGATACCCTGGCTCCGGCTACCCGCCAGCTGGAGCGCCTGGCGGCTACCCGGGCCCGGGCGCCGGCGGATTCGCACCGCGTGAGTAACGAGACCGTGTCCGTGGTCCTCCATCGACTTGCCTCTGACGACCTGTTCCTCCTTTCTCCCTGCTCGTTTCGCCACCGATCAGCACCCGGTCCGCCAGGCGGCATGCCGATGCAGCCGCCGTTCAACGCGGGCCCGCCGGGCGGATACGGCCAAGGTCCGGCCCCTCCGTTCCCTCCCGGTCCCGGGGGATACGGTCCGCCCGGCGGGTACGGCAACAACACCGGCGGCGGCGGGTACGGCCAGGGCGGCTACCCCTACGGCGGCGGCGGTGGCTACTGATCGCCCCGGTTTCTCGTCTTCCATTCTGAACGCGCCCAGACGCGAATGACCCTTTGTGCCTCCCTCCTTGTCGGCCCTGTGCCGAGCTGCAACGAGACTTGGAACAACCTGGCTGTCCGGCGGGCGAAGCGGGCGGAACGAGGCGGCGAACGAATGCAGTGTGGCGCGTCTCGGGACGAGCGGATTAGTGTTACATGGCCCTGCGGGCGGGCGGGCGGGCGGGCGGG